CGAAAACATATATCAAAGTTTGTAAAACAATGTAAAATATATCAATCATTCAAAGGAACAACCCAAAATACTAGTCTATATACTCTTTCGATTCTAAACAAACATTGGGAAGATATCACTATGGACTTCATTTTAGGATTATCTGTAACATCCCGGAAGTTCGATCTGTTTTTGTTGTCATTGACCGATTTAGCAAAATGGCACATTTCATCCCTTATAAGAAAACATTTGAGACATCCCATATTGCTGATTTATTTAAAAAAAAAAAAAATTGTAAGACTGTATGGCATACCTAGAATTTTTATCTCTGATAGGGATAATTGGTTCTTAAGTCATTTTTGGAGAACACTATGGTAAAAATTAGGGACTACTCTCCAATTCAGTAGTGCATATTATCCACAAACTAATGGACAAACTATAGTAAACAAAAGTTTGAGAAATTTTTCTAGGTGTCTTGTTGGAGAAAGACCTCAATGGGATTTGATTTTACCCCAAGCCGAATTTTCTTATAACAATTCCCTTAACCAATCCACTGGAAAAATCTCATATTTATGACTAGCCTGTTCCCCACATCTTAGATCGAACTTCATTACCCATGTATGGTAGAATCAATACTGATGCTACAAAAATTGTTGATCATATTCAATAGGTCCAGCATCAGGTTCTAGAAAAACTCCGTATGGAAATTGCTTACTGTGAACGACGGGGCTTTCCTATTGGCACATTTGGCAAATTAAGCGGAAAGATATTTGGTCCTTTTAGAGTTTTGCGAAGATTGGGAACAAATGATTATATGTTGGATCTTCCACCTTCTGTTGGGACTTTTCCTTTGTTCAATATTGTCGATCTTACTACATATGAAGGAGAGCTGACTGATTATGTAGACATTGAAACTATACCCTTTATTATAGTTCAGACCAGTGATGACTTTATTGAAGACGTTGTGGTCATCCGTACTAAGACTAGATATGGAGTGCATTGACGATTTTTGGTTAGGTGGAGTGGACGACCTTTGACTAACTGTCCTTTGATTGAAGCTGAGAGTTGCAGATTCATCGATCTGATATCTTTCAACGGGTTACTGTAGCATTCTCATCAGGAGACGTAATTCTTCCACCATGGGAGAATTGATACAATCAAGAAATGTTAATCTATATATATTTTTATTTTTCTATGTTTTGAACTCTTTGTAATTTGGACTAAGTTTTTTTTTTTTTTTTTGCAATACCCTATGATGGAAAACAACTTGTGATCATGCTTGTGTTTGGTGCTCATAGGAAGTTTCACTCATTTGGTTTTCACTTGTGTTGATCTAGCTTCTTTGGTGGTTAGTTGGGTATTTATTTTGGGCTATTTTGCTTATTGGGTTTAGCCCAACTCTTTCCCATTGCTAGTTGTTTTTCCCAATGCTGCTGTCAGGTTTTACATGTTGTTGGCTTTTCATATGCTGGTTGTTTGGATGACATAATCAAGTGAGCAATTTATGACCATATCCCCCTTCTCTTATATATATATGGGTTGTTTTGCTACTAAGAGGGGTTGGTTGTTTGTAACCATGCTTGTAACTATTAATGAGTGTGAAAAGCTGTAAGAATGTTTGTGTAATTCAATATATATATATATACACACGGGAGAGGCAAAGCAAGCAGGTTGTGTAAATTTCGAAGACCGATATCTTTGATCCGAGCAGATGAATTTTAAAATAAATGATATCGCCCTATTGATCTTTGATCTGGACGGGAGAATTTTAAATTGGAAGACTTACGTCGCCAATCTTTGATCCGAATAGGATGGTTTTAATTGAAAGTCCCCGCGCCGTTGTATCTTTGATCCGGGTTGTAGAAACCATGGCAAATGTCATCTCAACCTCCCTTCACTAGGAGAGCACGTTGCGAGGTTGTCGAAATCGTTTCTAGAGGCTGCCAAATTCCCATTCGAAGCCATTGGAGAGTAATTTTGAGATGTTTAAATCTTTTTAATAATTAATACAATTAATTATTTTAAAATTAATTAATTCATGTAAAATTATTAATTTAATTATTAAAGAATAATTCATTTCATTCAATTAATTAATCAAGTAATAAACTACTTAATTTGTTTTAAAAAAAATAAGGTTAATTCATTTAAAATACACATTTCATTAATTGATTAAATCCAAACCAAAATTATATAATTTAATTTAATTAAAATAAGAATAAAATAATTAATTTAAGAAATCTAGAAATAACATTAAAATGTAATTAAATAACTAAACCATTTAAAAATAATTAGTTTATTTTAATTAATTAAAATCTTAATATGTAATTAAATTCATTAATTAATTTTAAAATAACTTTAAAATTTTATTAATTCAGCAATTTAATTACGCATTTAATTAGTCAATTTGAAACAAATTTAAAAGCTAATTATTTTAATTGTAATTTCATTCAATTATTAATTCATTAATTAACCAATTTAAAATTCATTTAATTGATTGAATAAATAATATTAATCAAAGAAAATGCAATAAAAGAAAAACAATATTTACACTAATTATCCTAATACAACACACACCAACTAAAACACACCTAACTCCTAAAAACTAGAATTCTCAAACTCAAAAAACTGGAACACTAAACAAAGCTCACAAAACTCTTAAGACTAAAAAACTCTCCAAAATACCAACAAACTCCAAAACTCTTGTGCGAACTCTCCAATACTTCAAGCAAGATCTTGTAGGTATAAAGCTCGTGGTATCTGCAAGTAAGAAACAAAACTGATCAGTAAACTGCTGAAATACAGAAAAGCAAGGTACTGAAAGAAAAATAGGACACTAAAAAAAACACTGGCGTGAAGAAAGTAAGGAACTGAATTAAAGTAATTGCTGTCTAATCTACCATATGCTTCCAAAGGGAAGTAGTAAATTCCACAAACATAACCTTTAGGCTGCTTCCAAAGGGAAGTAGTAAGTCCTACAAATCTATAGGCATCTTAGCCTATAAGACTAGGTTGTAAGACCCATCAACGGACCACTTATAAGTGAAGCAGTAAGACTTATCTATTGGGGTAACATCTAAACAAAGTACATTTTCCCTAAAATATAAATCTATAGACAACTTATAAAAGAAAGTCATAAGACCTATCCAAGTAAACAATCGGGCTACTTCCAACAAAAGCAGTAAGACCCGGTTTTCAAAACAAAGCTCACGTGTAGCTAGTCTATAGGTCTGGGTTGTAAGATCCACCTATGGGCCACTTCTAAGTAAAGTCGTAAGACTCATACATTAGGGAAACGCCTAAATGAAGTGCAACAACCCTAAAAATCTAAACTAAGCTAATGGGCAGCCTCGCTATAGAGCTAGGTTATAAGACCCATCTACAGGAAACTTCTAAAATGAAGCCGAAAGACCTACCCAAATAATTAAAACTAACAAGCAGCTTAGCTTATAGGGCTAAGTTATAAGACTCACAATCAAGCTACTTTTGAAATACATAAGCCATAAGATCTACTCAAACAATCAGACATCTTCCAAGAGAAGTAAGACTTGCTATTTGGACAAATTTCAATAAAAGCCATATGACCCACTCTAAAATAATCGGGTTACTTCTAATGAAGTCGTAAGTCTCAAACCAATTCAATTTATTAGGTAATTTCTAAACAAACAAAGTCATAAATTCCAAGTTAAATTAATCGCTGGTATTCTAATAGATGTAAACCTTAAACTTTCATAACCCACTTATAACCACTTCAGTTTACTTAGGATTCCTAAAAGGGGGCAACCCATGGCTATTAATCAGATTTCCTGGACACTACGATCAACAATCACTAGTGTTGGTAGATTGAAACCTACTGTATATCCGGGACGATGGAACCATGGGATTTGATCGGGTTTACCTCCATTTTCTCTTACAATTGAAACTAAAAATACCTAAAATTATTTATCCTTAATTAAGAGTTCTCTCTTATGTGTGTGCTTGTGCTCATAGGAAGTAAGGACCCATATCTAACTAACCCCTGCCACTATCCTCAGGGGAAATCTAGTTAACTATAATCTGACTCAAGGGGAATGAAATTCTATATCTGCAAAGCGAGATTCATGCTGACACACTGTTTTTCTTGAGCCAACATATAGGTTGTGGCAGTCAAAAGAAAGTTGTTGCGGCTCGGGGGTGTGCATGAATGCGTTATTTGTTCAAGGCTTTAGTTTTTTATGATTTATAAAAATTTTAATAAAAAAATGTATAAGTGGGTAGCGTACACCTCATGCTAGTGAGGCGAGGGGCACATTAGCCAAACTAAGGCACACACCTCATAAAAAAAAATTCGAGGCATAAGCCTCAAGCTGTTTTTCACTAAAATTATTCAGAGGGCCTCAAGGCGGTAAATAATGCTTCCTCTCCGCTACCTTTCCATATCTCTCTAGCAAAAACAGTTTTTTTAATTTGATGCACTTAAGTGTTGAGGTAAATTTTATAGAAACATACCCAACTATCTCTCATTTCTTGATGCCATCATGCTTATTTACCACACTTTGAATGCAAAGATAATTTCATAAAAATTCTATTGATTAATGACAGATAACGTTCAGTGAAAAATTAAACGTGGGCATACCTAGTGCATAAAGCTCTTGTTAAAGCGATTCTGGGGAGGAACTTGTATGGGAAATGAAAAAAGTCAGAATGGGAGAATTGATTGGTGAATTGAAAAACAAATGACCAAATCAAATACGATTAGAGTGAAGATCTAATTTCAAATTACACGAACAAAAAAGCTAAAAATGATGGCTGATGGCCAAGTGATGAATTATGCTAACTATGAAGTAGCCGTTGATTCTTACGGATCAATGCCAATTTATTATGTTCAACGATTATTTTCTTTCCATTTATGATATATAGAAATAAAGTTTTCATATTAAAAGCATCTCTAGAAAAGCATAAATTACTAGTTTGCTTTCATTATTTTTTTGTTGTTAAATCTTAGAGCTTATCACTCTCAAGTTCTCTTTGTTTTATTTTTGTAGGATATAATGCTGTTTAATCAATTGTGGAAGAATTCATTGCGTTTTGGGCGCATGAAATACTAAACAAATGGCTTTGTTCATCCAAGTAAACTTATTACTTGAGGTAAAAAGTAATTAATCAGGTATGCTGTTATCAACATGATCGGGTACAGCACTGAAGTTGTAGTTGACAACCCATTTTTAATTTCTGAATCTGAATGTAAATTGTGTTGATAATAACATTACTATAATACCACATCATGATTGATTGATCTGACCACAATCCATACCTCATTGATTCAAAAACATTTTCATTAATTCTATCAAATTTAAATTTAGAATAAATCTTTACTTTTGACTGTCAACCTAACATAAATTATCAATCTTTCTTATTTAAACTTGAGATTGGAAATGGTGATTTCCATAAAACCATTTCAACCCCGCCAGATGTCTTCTAATTCCATCTTTTCCTTTTCGATAAATTTAGAGGGAGAGCATTAGGTATTTAAATCCTCACAAAGTACTGTTTTCTGAATTTATTTCCTAAAAATGGCATCTGGCGTTTGTTTAACTCGTCTTCAGGTCCTTTTTATTCACTGCTCATTAATAATTTGTTATATGCTGCTTGCATTTGAGGAAAAAAGTGTATATCCTTAACGAACCTCGAGAATGGATGTAATTGTTGAAGGTGAAGGCTTAAACAAGCGTTTTATTGTTCTTCTATCACAACCCTTATAAGTACTTTCTTATACCTGTTTGAATTGGTTGTGTAATTTCGGAAATAATGTTGGGAACTTGGGTTATTTCCTGTGGCGATTTTACCTTGTACATTAGCTTAGTATCTTTTTTAAATTCCAACTTACTAACTTAACAGATTATCTACTCAAAGCAAGTGGGCATTTTGGTATGTGATCTCATTATTAGAATGAATGGCCCTATATAGAATTCCGTAAGTTTTGAGATTTTATAGATTCTTGTGTATTGGTGATCTGGAAGCTTACATGGCCTATATAAAATGGTAAAGTATTTCAGTTTTTGTGTAGGTTTATTTGGGGTACAACTTTTTTCGAAATGATTTAACAAAAAATTGATTATTTTTTCAATCATGAACCTTTTTGGTGCAGTAAACTGCAGTTTAATTCTTCCGCAGTTTCTATGAATTCAAATATTAAGATTCTTTCTTTTACAATTCAAAAGGATGTTAATTTGGAGTATTGATGTAAAGTGTTTGTTTAAACATTTTCTAGGAGTATCAAGGAAGACACGACTGTTACATATTTGTGCATTCTTTAATATCTGAATTTGCTTCACATCAATATGTTCAAACTTTCAGAAAGGATGAGAAAAGGATTGATACATGTTTGTTCCAAATATATGTTTAAATCTGGAAAAAAATATTCAATCAATATATGAAACTTCTGAAAACTGCATTCTATGATATCAAAATGATTAAATAAAACTGCACTCTAGTCGAGTTTTAACCGTATAATCGTAATGAAAGTAAAGGCAGCGGAAGCAAAGGACTCGGATCTTGAAACTTTGCATGCATAGAACATCAAATTGCGTACACGTCGACCATCTAAACTCACGCCTAAAGGATGAAAAATCACTTCAGCTTTCAATTCACAGTGACGCATCTTGAGATGATTGAACCATAGCTTTCTGACTTAGTTTGATTGTATTAATTCTTAAAAATGCTCAGAATGGTGTGAGAAATTACTGACAAATTTTGTAGTATCATATTGAGTTCATGTATGTGTGGAATGCTTGATTAAGGGTATGAATTACATCCTTCTTGTGCAAAACCAAGTCATGCTAATGGGCTAGATAGCAGAGCCCTGCATTGGGTACCCATAGCCTTGTGGGTGGGTATGGGTGGGTACTCAATATCGAGGGATAAATCGATTTGCATTGTTAATCACCATGTATCTTATATTACTGCAATCCTCACTATATAGTGTGCAACACTTAACCACGCTGCGACTACGATAAATTCTGATATGCAGCTTGAAAATTTGCAATTAGAGCAAAGGGAAACAAGCCTTAGACCATCAATCCGTGGCAGACTATGTTCAAAAGTATGGAAAGTGGGTGGGTATATGTGGGTATGGCATCCCGAAAGTCATTGTGGATGGGCGAAGCCCGTTTGAGTAAAGCATGGGTACCCAACCAGGACCCCACGCAAGGCTTTGCTAGATAGGGTTGGTTGCTGCCACTTTTTCCCTTTAAGCCATCAGAATTGGCACTGACATACGCTTTTTGTTATGTAATTCACTCTATTGTTTCATTTGCCGTTCATCTCAAAAGAAGGTATATATTTATGTACAGATTGTGAGATGTTCACATGTTTTTGCTCGATTCATTCAAGAGATGGTTATAGATAATGGATTAAAGAGGCACTCACTTGTGGGTATAGGCTTTAAATATTGGCTGAGCACTCGAGGCATTTAGGAATTATTTTGGTGGGCATGTGGGGAATGAAGGTTTCTTGTTTTTTATGTAAAGCTATGGTCGACAGCTAGTGGTAAGGTTTTAGGGTTTAGGGTTATGTCGGACGACTGGAGAGGCTTGCCGAATTGCTTAGGGTTTACTGGCTGAGGCCTAACTCGAGAGCAATCTATTAGGGTTTGGGTTTTATGGTGTGTAGCTGATGGCTAGAGGTGGACTGAGAGTTTGCTATGGACTGTTGAGAGAGGTTTAAAGGCAATTAGGATTAGGATTTGGAGTGTAGGATGAGAGTGGAGTGAGTGGGAAAAATAAAAATACAAGTATATAATTTGGAAACTCGCCAAAGTTCCTTGGAGGGGGCTCACCAAGCTTTGCAAATTCAATATTTTAGAACCTTTATAAAAGAGAGAATGCAAGGTTATATGAAGATTAGAAAACAAAAGGAATTTTCACTTGGTTTTAATTTTCTTGCTTCCTTCTTGGAGTAACCAGGCATTTACTTTTGAAGGAAAATTCTATTTGTTTTTGATCACATGTTAAAATGCTTGAATGGGAGGAGGAACCAACCAAACTTTTTGAATTGGGATTGGTTTTATTTGTGGCAAATATTAGAGTTCAAGTGTGAAGGGGTTGGCTAAGCTCGAAATCATGTTCCATGCTTTAAGATTTGGAATGCTGTTGATGATGATGAACTTTACTCTTGATTTGTAGCTTGTGATATGAGCGCATAATGGTGATGCATTAGGAGGTAAACTTTCTCATCAATTTGGTTGTTGATTTTATAGTTCATCACTATTATCACTCTTATGATGGCACTTATAATGTGTTGTATTCTGATTTGTAATTTTGAGAATTCATGGTTGACAATCATTTTCACAAGATTGTTGAATTTATTCGGTACTATATTTTAGCTTAATCATGCCTTTTTTAGCTCAATTAAATCATTTAGATGACGACAACAATAATAACATCAAGTTTTTATCCCACTATGTGGGATCAGCTACATGAATCCTTTTTCGCTATCGTGCCATGTTAAAAATCAAATTCTCATTTAAATATAATAAATAAAGATCATTCCTAATATTTTCTAACCAAGTCTTTTTAGGTTTATCTCTACCTATCTCAACAAAAGTCAAATCTAATACCTCTACTATCCTAACCGTTATCATCGGAAGGCCGTTGTTTTATGTGACCAAATCATCTAAGGCAACTCTCTCTAATCTTATCTTCCATCGGAGCTACTCCAACCTTTTCATTGTATCCTATCTCTAAGGGTAAAGTTACTCATCCATCTGAGCATCCTTATATCTGCAACATTTAGCTTAGTATTATGCTACTCTTTTAATTAAATCATTTAGATTGAACATGTTAAATTATCAGTTGACTTAATTTCCCAAGGTTTGACTTTATTGTATGCAACTTGATCAATTTAGGGAGTCCAGAGAATTCAGGTTGACTAATGGGACAAGTAAGAACATTTGGGATATTTTAGGTCAACCATAGCGAGTCAACTGAGATGCCAGATGACATGTCCAATCAGGGTCAAGTTGTTCCTTTTTGACTTGGTATTATTAAGGCCCACCTGAGTTCACAAGACTTATAATTAAAGTTGGAGTCATAATAACTTGAGGATGGGATGCCTAAGTTTTGGGCCATGTCATTATAATAAGACCATTTAGGACCAAGGGTTCCATCAATATTGGCTTAGCTCATTAAGGGTTTGTGTAGGTTAATTGGTTCTAAAGCAACTTTTTAGTACATATATTTTAGCATAATACTCGTAGGTTTCTAGTTAAAAGTAAAATTTTGATGGAGTGTGCATAACCTATTTTTAAGCATGATTATTTATATATTTTGATGTTGTAACTTGTAACTATTAAAATATCAAAATTATTATAACAATTATGGTTATTATAAATATAAATTTTTAATTTAACACAGTTCTGCTTGATCTATTGGTTGAGAGCTTAGGCTTTCAATTAAGAGATCTTGGGTTCGAGTCTGTGTATGTGTTTTGTGTGTGAGTTTGCCTTAAATGACCTAAATGTCTCAAAAAAAAAAAAAATTATTTACATCATAGATATGTCATTGAAGCTGAAATTTCCTAATTAATACTTATTTGTGTGAGAAGTTTTCTACCCTTTTAAAACATACATGAATATAACTCATCATGGTGGGTAAAGTGAGAGAATGCTAAAGATCAAAGCCTACATATAGTACACACAGCTCAAGTATTTTAAGTTCATCATGAGCATCATAGTTGTCATAATTATAGGAATTTTTTGTTCTCCATTTAATCATGATGGGTATTAAAAGTAATTAGTTTATACTTATTAAATAATAACATTTAATTAGTCTCTATTTAATATTCAAAATTGCACCTATAAATCATATATTTCTTCTACACCCACATGAATATTAAAAATTTAGTCCATATTACCCGTTAGATGCAGCCTCGATCATTGCTAGCAGGAAGATATTCATTTGGGCGGCAATTTAAAAGCTATTATAAATTATATACTTTTTTTTATTTTAAAAATCGATTAGAATGTTTTTTTTTTTAATATATCACATTACATATATCTTGTTATTAAAAAAATGACTTCCCATCATAAATTTATGAAAAGAAATAAACTACAAAATATATTTATTGCAGAAATCTCAAAAAAACAAAATCATTAAATTCATTTTTAAATTAATATTATATATTTTTTATATTTCAGTAATTTAAAATAATTCTACTTATTTTCAAACTTAATCAAACAAATCATATCATATCAGAATCTGCTTAAACAATTTTTTTCCACTTCATGTGGCTTTATGCTAAGAGTTCCTAATGTGATATCGGTGACATATAAGTGAGCCAGTAAGGAAATAAAAAAAAATAATAATAATAATAAGAAAAATAAAAAATAATAATAAATAAACAAAATAAAATAAAATAAAAAACCGGGCAGTAAGGAACCATAAAACCTCCACTGTAATGGGAAAAAAGAATACCTTCCAGAAATTCATAAAATTTGAAATTTTTAAAAAATAATTGATGAATGTAAAATAGATATAAAAATTATATTTTTATTTGATTTAAAATAACATAAATACAATATAAAATATGACCAATGATGGAATATGAATGCAACAATGAGCAACGACAGAAAAAAGTTTCAATATATTCAAAAATCGCTCATATGGGAGAATTCCTAATACATAAAAAATAAATAAAAAGGTAAATTCTAAATGCAAAAAAAAAATTATCCTATACTTCATTTGCTTCAAATTAAACATCAATATTCTTCAAATCCCATAATATGAAATGCTTTACTCTCATTTTACTTCAAACCAAACAAATCCTAAATCTATTCGTGATTGAAGACTGCAATAATATATATACTATTAATAAACTTTTAATATCATTTAAGAATTATAACATTATATAAGAATTAAATATTTCTATCTAATTCATAAAAATTCAATGATATATCTCTAAATCCCCCAATAAATTCTTACAAATTGGCCTGCATGCTAACTTATAATGCTTACTCAACAGAAAGCAACACAAATGGGAAAAAATTGCCTCAAAGACACATCTTAATTAAAGACTGTTTGAGACAACTTTCTTAATGCTTCTTAAAATAATTTTTTAATTAAAAAAAATTGTATTAGAAAACTATTTTAGAAAGCAATAAGAAAGCTCTTCCAAACAAAAGCCTAAATTTCAGTTAAGATAAAATTAAAAGCCATTAAGGTTTAGTTTGGAACAACTTTCTTACTAAATTAAAAATCTTCAAGCATAGCTACTTTATAAAACATTAAAAAAGCTGTCACAAACAAAACTTAAATTTATTTTGAAAAGAGTGAAATAACACAACTCTCCTTGGCCTATTGGTTGAGAGCTTAGGCTTCCAATTAAAAGGTCCAAGGTTCGAGTCCATGTGTATGCGTTGTGTGTGTGAGTTTGCCTTAAATGGCCTAAATGTCCAAAAAAAAAAAAAAAAAAAGTGAAATACAAATTTATAGTCGTCTTAAAACAAATCCAAAGATTTTAAATCCTGTCCGGATCAAAGCTTTTTTTTCCAACAAAAACATTAAACTCGTCATTCACAAAAAAAAAAAACAAAAAAAAAAGATTTTAATATAATAATACAAGAGAAAGAAATAGAACATACAAACCTGCATCATTAGCAATGCTAATTCTTTCATAATGACCACTTCAAAGTTTAAACATTTTCCTAAAAATGGTCGGTAAAACATAATTAGCCGTTGTTTAAACTCCATCCTCAGGTCTCCATATGTAAGGGGGTTTGGAAGGAGAAAATGGTTTTTGCCACAAATAGGAAGCAAAGATAAATGCAGTTATTGATTGGGGAGTAAATATGCTCTTTAGGGTTTTTGGACTTCAAACCTGCGACAGCTTTCTTCACTGCCTCGGATGATTTTTGTATCTCCATGATGCAGTTGCTGGTACCTGAGAACGAGATCAAATAAGGTTTTATAACTAATAATATTCTCCAAGCCTGAAATCTGGGACAATATACATTTGTTGAATACAAAGTGGAAGATTTTTTATTTCTTTTTTCTATAACAAAATCTGCCTAGCAGCTTATTTGAGGCAAAGTTACATGTTACATTCTTGTTACTTTTTTAAAATTTCTACAGTGATAAGCAATTTTTTATAACAAATGTTTCATTTGGGACAACTTTCGTACTGCTTTATAAAACAACTTTTTGTACAAAATTTTCAAATTCAAGAAATTTTTTACTAGAAAGCTGTTTTAGAAAGTAAGAAGAAAGCCGTCCCAAACGAAGCCTAAATCTACTGGAGTCTAGAGTGTGATAGCAGTGACCTTTTCAAAAGAGAATTTATAATGCCTACAACTGTTTATAAAAAAAAATTTATTTTTCTCATAGCACTGTACAACTACTTTGTCGTTAATCTCCCTATACTATAGGAACTATATAAGCTAACAAGCACAATATCCTTCAAAATGATTTTATATTAAATTGAACATAAACTAGGAGTGTAAACTTCAGATTGATAAGAACATTGCAATGCATCTTATATATGAAGTTGTAGAGTCATATTCAGATTTTAGTTTAACAGTTTTATTCTCTTTTTTTTTTTTCTTAATGAGCTAGGGTGGGAGGGGAGAAATGCTGGTGAAACTGCAAGTACAATTTAACTATGATGCATTTAAGTCAGACAAAAATTAAAATATTAAACTTCATACAAACTGAATACCATTCTAAGACTTGAGATTTAAAAATATATAACGGTTAATTAGACACGATGAGATTGGAAATTGAAAAAGGAAAATAATTTTAGGGGTGTAACCGAGTCAAGCCGACTCGCGAACTGGCTCGGACTCGACTCGGTAACAAGCTCGACGGCTTATCGAGCTCGAGCTCAAACAGGCATCCGCTCGACTCGTCATCTTGTCAAGTAGCTCGCGGAGTTGACTGGGAAATCCAAAACGACGAAGCTCGTGGGCGAGAAATCTAAAATGGAGCACGCGGGTGGGAAATCTAAAACAACGGAGCTCGCGGGCAGGAAATCCAAAAAGATGAGGCACGCAAGCTCCCGGATGAACGACGACAGACGAGCTCGGGACGACAACAGACCTCGGGACGACAGACACAACAATGAGCCTACTCGGGACGGAGCTTGACAGCAGAGCTCGGTACTGAACTCGACAAGCCGCTCGACATGAAGACCAGTCGAGCTTGAGCTCGGATTTTGAGCTCGACTCGAGTTCAAGCATGGTATTTGGTAGTCGAGTTAGACTTAAACACTCCCTAGCTCGAGCTCAACTTGACTCGTTTGCACCCCTAACATACTCTACTTGAAATTAGAAGTATGATGCATAAGATGTGTGAGGATAAGGGCACCTATGCTTCTAAAAGGACAGCAGTAAGAACTTAAGATTAGACTGTAAAATGGAATCCTACTGTAGTCACAGACATTTGCATCCCAAGTCTTGGAGTCAGCGAGAAAAAAGCAAGCAGGTTATGCAAATATAATAACTGCTGGATAAAGAATGCCTGTCTAATTCAAACCTGATGAACATTAGAAGCATTGTTTCCACCCATTCCCCGAACTGAGCTCCTCGGAGTCTTGACTTCCATAGCACTCCTCATGTCGGAGTACCTTTATAGTAGAAATAAAGTAGAAGCCGTGGAGTGAATTCCAGGGATAACAGAAATAAGTAATAGTTAACAATGGAAGGTAGCACCTACCCAGTAGGATGCAGTGGACCCGGATAACCATGAGAGTTAAATTGTCGACCAGCATCCTGGTCAGAAATTCTTGAAATCACTTTTTGATCCCCAATAAGAGAAGAAAATAAATCTAAATATGTAGGGAGTAACCGAACGGTGAACAAAACCATGCATGGACCATTAAAATTGTGCTGTAAATTGAACTTAATGTACGATTAATGTAAGCTAAAAACTTGTCCAAACTTTTTCAGAAGTTCAGCAAATGAAATACTACTAAGTTGACATTGAAGTTGTTAAGCTTAAGATGGTTCAGAAGACTGACAAGTGGCAATAGACACCAACAATGCAAATAGATAAAGATATGGTGTATATTGCTAAGGGGATTTCAGTTCACACAAAGTGCCAGTTTGATTGGGTTCTAATCCTGCTATGCAACAAAAAAAGGCCTTAAAACAGATGACAAATCATTTGAGTAGAAAGCACATCAACTTTTCCCATTACTAAGGCTATGTGCAGTAAAAATTGGTGGCAAAAGCAAACTTCCGCCGGCCAACTTTCAGCTGCAGCAAAGCAAATACCAATCAAAATGCAGACACCTTTACTCACAATAAGACATCATCAAATACAAAAAGTACAGAATAATTTACTTTAATTAAGCTAATCAATATACTAAATAGATTAATTAAAATAACTTAATGCTGAATAATATGAGGTGATTATGGAAATTAGTGCTTGATTACACTAGTTAAGGATTCAATAAACTTCACTTTCGTAAGTTAAATTTAAATTAATTAAATAAAAATATTAATTAACCTATGAAGTCATCAATTGCTGATCATCAGGAAATAAAGAAAGGTTTTACCAACAAGGGCAGATACGAAATAAGAGCGAATGATATGAAAAACTGGAAAGAATGCTGATAGGGGAAATGTTGTTATTGCAAGTAAGGATTACTTAAAATTTAGGTAGGATTTGACTAGGCTACGTAGTATTTAAATGGGATTAAAATATTTTAACTGGGTTAATAAAACACAAAATTTATTAAATAAGTTGACTAGTAATAAACTACTTAGAAGTAACTTAAGTTAATTGGTGCCCAAATAGTTAATTAGTGCTTAATTGAATTAATTAAAGATTAATTATGCTTAAATTATGCTAATATAATAAATACGGCTTAAATTTAAATTTCCATCTTTTATTTACCACTTAAAATAAATAACCAGTAGGAATTCTCAATTATTAAAATCGAAAATGGGAGATTGGTATTTGGCAATTCGCATCTTTGGATCAAAGTTTTCTTTTCACAATTAAAGCTTTGCGAGAAAGCTACATTTTCAAATTGTAATATTATAGGATAACTATTTCCTACATCATCTTGTAGTTTGCATAAGTTTCTAGGAAGAGAATGTATTATGAATTTGTAATAGTATTTAGTAATGTTTAGTTGCACCTTTTTGTAATGTTATTTTGTAATGACATTTGGTTATTCACTAACCGTAATTTGTTTGAAATACATGTCACAAAATTCACCACAATATGTTAATTCAGCAGAGGAAATGCCCAATCTTCCACAATTACCAATGTGTGATAGTCAATTTAGTGTTGGGTCATCTTAAAGCCTAACTGTTGCAGCTATAGATGATCAAACTGAAAATCCGTTTGCTAAAAAAATGAGGAAGAAGACATCCTTAGTATGACAAGAATTCACAATTGTAAAACTAAGTGATGGCAGTGAGAAAGTACAATGAAAGCATGGTAAGGTGAAGCTCACTAAAAATAAAGAAGGTGCAACTACACAATACTAATGTCACTTAGTTCATTGTGTGGATTGGAAGGGCCAACTGAATGTTTTTTGTCCATGCACGTTTGCCATCAAACAAGTTTGATCATGGGAGTAGTAGCACAGTTGCCAACTTGAAATACAATCAGGGAAGAATGAGGGAGTTGATAGCACCCATAGTTATGATACATGAATTACCATTTAATTTTGTTGAATATGAGATATTTAATATCGTTATGAAAGCTGCTATCCCACATTATTAGAAAATATCAAGAACAATGATGAGGGGTGATTTTCTTCATGTTACAGTAAATTCACCTATAAACATTTTAAAATTGTTTGATAATTATTTTTTAGCATTTTCTACTTGTGAAGCAATTATGCTTTTTGTTTGAATAGGATGATAGAAAGTGTATACAATTTTCTTCAAATCAGCAAATGACAATAAGAAATTAGGAAGAACACACCAAAACTATTTTATTGCAAGATATATGAAAGAAAATAGCAAGATACAGCTGGATCTTCAGTTGGAGAGGAAAATCCAGCTCTCCCAAATCCCTAGCCGACAACTAGAGCCCTCACAACCTAAGAAGATTCTAATTTCAGCAAACTCAGAACATAATCCTAAAATGATCCGTTAGTTAGCTTTAAATAGTCTCTACTAATTCTCTCCCAAATCAGCCTCCTTTCTCAAAATAATTCTCTCATATTTGAATTCAAATTAGTTCTCTTTCCCTGATTAATTTCCTCTCAATTGTAACTAATACATTCCAAAACAATTCCCCTATGATTCCTCCTTACATAATGAATATTAACTCCCTGGGCTTTCCCTAAAGAATTCTCTCTCAAATTTGAATTTAAATTATATTTATTTCCCTAATTAATTATCTCCCAATTGTAATTAAAACTTTCCCAAACAATTGCCCCCTCTCTTCTTTCCTAATGGCGCCCACCGGCTTAGTCACCGATCCATCAATACTCCCCTCCCAAAGAGTCACCTTGTCCTCAAGGTGGAATGAAGGAAACTATTGCTGAAGCACTGGAGTAATAGCCCTGGACTAGAAAATGGACCGACACTGGGTCGAACGATCTCTGCCTGGAACATCTCCCTAATCAATCTCTCAATCTCTTCATTCTAGATTTGGGTATGATGGTATAGACGAACACTGATAGGTGAGACTCCTTCCTTCAAGATGATAGTATGCTCGCATTCCCGCGAAGGAGACAACCCCTGAATTGGCTGAGACACCCCTCGACATTGTTGTAGGGGAGGCTGAATCATGTATAGTGCTTCTATCTTCTCCCCATCTTTTTTCTCCTTCTAATGCAACTCCACCAAAAATCCCATGCATTCGCCCTTTCCCCTTCTTAGAAGTGGCTCCAAAGGTGGCATCTCCTCTTCTTCCCCCAATATTTCCACATCCTGATTTTCCCCTCTCGTTTTAGGATTAGGGTTTTCTCTACTCCACCAAAAATATAGGACACGGCTTCGGCGTGGACACAGCATAATAATTTTTTAATATAATATATAGAAATTAAGGTAACATTATATTAAAAATAGCAAGCAATAATAAATCAAAGTCATGACAACTTGTTTAGCTTATAACATAAAGATGTTTAGTACAAAAAATATCTAGTACAATCACAAAAATATAAACAAAAAATCATTTAGTACAACATGAAAATCTAACTACTCAATAGAGGGAATGATAGAATTAGATTCAGAGGTTGGTCTTTGGCCTTCAATATCATCATCATTGAATATTATTGCTTCCAACTCTGGTTCATCTAGAGAAATATTTGCAACCTCCAATAATCCCATATCATCAAGGCACTCAAACCCATCTCCAACAACATCCCACACCTTATTATCACCTGTCATATAAAGTGGAGTTTTTCTTGATAGAAGATGAAGATTTGTATGCACATAAACTAAAATTTCAACCTGTTTTGGAGTTATTTTATTCATCTTCATTGATTGAATAAATGAGTATGTGCTCCAATTTCTCTCACAACAGGAAGAGGATGATACTTGACCAAGAAATTTTATTGCAATGCTTTGAAGAAGCGGTGCTGAAGCTCCATAATCAACCATCACATTAAAGAACTACAAATAAAATACTTTAAAAAAATATGCTCTTCTGATCATAAATCTACAGAATTATTGATAAATGAAGAGAAATGGCGAATGGAGAAAAAAATGACGAAACTAACTTACAGGTTTGAAAAATTTTCTGCGATTTGGCGTCGGCTTCCCTTGGCTGCGCCCAGAAATTGAGGATGGCTTGTTGCTTATGGTCAAAAGGGAAGACCAAGGGTGTGATCTCCAGCCGACCGCTGCTCGCCTCAATCGCTCTGGAAGACCACGAATACGAATAGGAATACGGAGTTAAGGAGAAGATGAAGACTCAGGCGTGAACCGGCTAATATGAAATAGCGGGATTAGGGTTTTTTATTTATTTAATTATATAATAGTCGAACACGTGTGTCTGACACGCATGTCCGGTTTAATTTTTTTTTAAATGGGACACATTAGTGATGTGTCTGACACATGTCCTCGCGTGTCGTATGTGTGTCCGACACGTGTCAGACACTGCATACTCTCTTAAAACGAAGTGTCGGTGCACATAGCCTCACAACTTAAGAAAATTCTAATTTCAGCAAACTCAAAACATAATCTTAAAATCACCCTATAGTTAGATTTAAATAGTCCCCTAATTCTCTCCCAAATTAGCCCCATTTCCCAAAATAATTCTCTCAGATTTTAATTCAAATTAGATCTCTTTCCTTAATTAATTCTCCCAATTGTAACTAAAACTTTCCTAAACAATTCCCGCTTGATTCCTCCTTACATAATGAATATTAACTCCCCTAGGCTTTCCCTAAGGAATTCCCTCTCAGATTTGAATTCAAATTATATTTCTTTCCCTAATTCATTCCCTCTCAGATTTGAATTCAAATTATATTTGTTTCCCTAATTATTCCCTCTCAATTGTAACTAAAACTTTCCTAAACAATTCCCCTCTCTTCTTGCCCGCCACTCACCCTAGTGGGACCCACATGCCAAGCAACCAGAATATCAGGGGACAAATAAGAATATTACTCAAATTGATGGGTTCCCTCACCTTGGAGAGGTGAAAGATAACTACCTTTTCCTCAAAGACTATTGTGTTGGACCAAAGAAGAGGGTTAACACTCTTACTCAATTCCTACTAAAATGGGCATCACATGTGGCTCTTAAGGAAATTAAGCTTAAATTTAGGGATGTTTCTTCCAAATTTGTTGATGATCATT